CTATTGGTTATATCGGTTTATCGAGCTTAAATTTTTATATGAATGTGACAAAATAATATCGGTTATCGGAATTGCGCGATGTTATGAAATATCGGTTTTCCGAGCTTTGACTGTATCATACAGTTGTGACTGATAACTTTGTATTTCAGGCACAGAACTGACACCGTTATTCCAATAATGTAATAAAGCGTGCATCTTTCGTTCGTTGACATTTTGACAGTGAAATTTGCAAAAGTTTGTTTATTATTATGCTTTTATTTATTTAAGACGCGTAATAAAAGCTTGTTGTTTACATTTCTTAATTGGTAAAATGTGACGCAAATTGAGTTAGAATTGACAAAGTTTAATTAAAGTTAATTATCTAGCTTTAGCGGAGCTAGTGTTTCGACGTATGTAGGAAACTTCTCTGTCTGGCTAAATTGGGACAATGATCGTAAATCCTCGATTCAAAAAAGAAGCAAAATAAATAGATTATAAAATTAATATTTTTTCGTTTTTCTCAGATGCTTGACATTCTTTTGCCACTGACTGTTTCTACCAAACCTCCCGTGGTTGGTGTTAATGTTTGTGTTTTTGGAGGGGAAGATCAAAAGATGACCTGTGGTGCAATTGTAGATTTTGATGCTACTATTCAAGTTCCTAAACCGGGAAAAAGTTTGTCGATTTTAAAAAGGTAGTTCAAGTTGAAATGATTGATGAATATGGGTTAGGATATAATGGTGCTCCGGTTTATATTCCCGCTCCCATTCCTTTTGAAACTGAAATTATTGCTGCACCAGTGGGACAGGACAAATCGGAGAATGGGACTTTGAAAAAAGCTCCTTGTATTTCGAAAGAGGCTGATAACAACGAGTTGTTTATTGTCGAAGGAAAATCGGCAGGAGGTAGCGCCAAGTTAGCCCGCAACCCTTATAATCGAGCTGTTTTACCGGTTCAAGGAGGCCAAAAACGCCGCTCTTATTAAGCAAAAGCAGGACCTTTATCAACCAACATTTATCTGGGTGTTGCAAATATCAGAGGTGGAACTGTTATTATTGGATCCAAGGATTCAGATTTAATTTCCCCTGCGGGGTTCAAAGAGGTAAATAGTCCTGCAAAATGTTTCTTACCTTTCTTTCATTGATATGAAATATTGTTGGTAATTAAATATTTAATATAATATTTACAGAAATTATCAGGAAATCAGATCGATAATTCAACGTCTGAATCAGGGGGCAAGTGAGCTTACGAAAATGAAAAGAAGTTTATGTGATTAGTGATGATGACGACACTCTTGATTCCTCCAATTCCTCTGATTTCTCTGATTTCTCTGATTTCTCTGATTTTTTAAATCCACTCATTCAGATAATAACAATAAGAAGGTAAGTAACATCAATGCAAAAATTGATTATTTATGTTAAAACTAATATATAAATTTAGCAAAAAATTGATAAAGAAAAAAAGCGCGAAGATACAGAAGCAACACGAAGTACCAATGTTGTAAGTTGACATTTGTAATTTATTCTTCTGAAAGATAATATGCATTTCTTATTAGCCTAGGACACCATCCCCAAGGCCAATCAATAAAGCACTTATTATTACTCCACAAAACCGACCCTTTCTGAAAGTCAGCGCAATACTTACCTAATCATATAACAATAAATACAAACGAGCAACATGCAATTTTAAAAACTGAGATTTCTATAAAAATTCCGGATGTAATTATAACTGGCTTATCAAAGTACTTTCGGTAATAATAAGTTATCACAGGCATGTTTTTTATATAATTCAAGGTATATTATTAAAAAACTCTCGTTTAGGCTGATAAGAAAGAATTTAAAAATGCCATTATAGCACAAATTGAATCGGATCGCGAAGATCATCATCATTTTTGTCAAGTATGCGAACTAATTTTTTACGACTTGTGGGTATATTTACTTTACCTATGAATTTTTATGTTTTATTCAGCATAACGAAACTGATATGTGGTTTTAAAATTAGTTATCAATACGACGCGATTGAGAGAACCTATACCGTGGAAAAAATTGTTCCTCTCTTTAAGGCATTACAATCGGAACATCCAGAATATAGATTGAGATTGAAGTAAAATGCATTAAAGAAATGTTGTTTTGATTTAGTAATGAATAAAGCCGATGGCATAGGTATCAAAGTTTCGTGTAACCAAGCAGTGGTGTTTATTGAAGTATCCGGTAGTCCTAGCAAGCCTGATGAAAAACACATAAAAGATGATGCAGAAAACTTTTGAAGGAGGCAATATTTGGGTTGGTTTCATTATTAGGATAAACCTGCCGAGATGGCTAAAAACGTGCATATACATATGTATATATGATACAATGCATCGGTAATGTCTTTATTATTATTGTTCTGACCCAAATCGAAATCTGACCAATTCGGAATAGGGTCGACCCAAATCGCGATCGCGTTTCGGGTTGGCCCAAATCGAAATAAGCTCAGAGTGATAT